CTCTCAGCAGAGGGGGGACTGCAGTTGGGTCAGGGCAGGGCTCAGATGCTGGCGGGAGGGGAGCCAGCGCAGAAGCCGTCCGGTGAACAAAACAGAAGCAGCTCAAGTGTAGAGCAAAACCTTGGCTGGGTGCAAAGCCGCCTGCCAGGCAGGGGCCACAGCAGTGCCCTGGCCTCCCTCCCCCATGTCACCCTCCCCTCGCGGTGCCAGTGGTGACTGAGGGTGGCTCTGTTTCTGTTTTCACAGATGGGCAGCGTTTTCTCATCTCAGGTGAGTGCAACGTGGGTCCTTTGGCCTGCAGCCTGGAAAGGGGGGGGGCCTGAGCCAACCCTGACTCCACGGGCCCCACTGCCACGCCTGCCCCATGCACACAGAGACGCTTTTCTTAAGCCAGGGTCTGGCCTGCAGGACAATGGGGTCGGGTCCCTGCCCAGCCCAGCCTCCTGGGGCAGGTCAGGGTAACAACCTGCCTGCTGCTGCCAGCCAGTGAGTTTGTACGTGCCCCCGGGCTGGGCCTAGGGCTGCCCACGTGCATGGCCAGCACTAGCACCGCGGGGGCCGGAGCGTAGCTGGAGCCCGTCGGAGCTGTTGTCAGACAGGCAATAATTATCCCACATCAGCTCGGCCCCCTCCCCGCCCAGGCACCCACCCAGGTGAATTGCTGGGCATGGGAACCAGCTCTCTGGGCCACCCACCCCAGGGAGGGGAAACCAGCCAATGGGAGCTGAGAGATTTTTCTGGGGGTGGGGACAGCGCGCGAAGCTGCCTCAGCTGTGTGTGGTGCAGAGAGCCAAGCTGCCGCAGGCAGGGGGGCTGCCTGAAGGTCCCACTGGTCAGGAGCCACCTAGGGAAGTGCTTCCCCACTATTGCCCACCAGCTGAAGTTGGGGCCCATCCGCGTGGGCCCTCCTGGCTGTGCCACTGTTCTGCACCCACCTTCCGTCCCAGACCCTGCACCCTCGCCCTAGGACAATGCAGCCCTTGAGCACTTACCAAAATCTTGGAGTGGCCCCCATCAAGACAGTTACAGCATGTAACATCACACCCCCACTTTGCACAAATGCACGTGATGCTACAGGGGGTGGGGCAGGGAGGCAGCAGGGCCGTGCGTGCGATGGAAGCAAGTGTAACCTGGGTGCCTTACACACAAAGATGGAGCTGAAAAAGATGGAGCACGAGGAGGCAGAGAGGAAGAGGCAGCACAAGCGGGAGGAGGACGAGAGGAAGCGAGCGCACGAGGCAGAGGAGAGGCAGCGCGCGCGCAAGGAGGAAGAGAGGAAGCGCGAGCACGAGGACCGGGAGAGAGAGCGGCAGCACAGGGAGCGCATGTACCAGCGCGAGCTTGAAGACACTGAGACCCCCACCCCTGCCCCGCCCCTGAGGCCCTGCCCCATCTCACTCCATGCCCCGCCCTCTGCTGCTCACTGTTCTCCCCCCTCACTCACTTCCCCCAGGAAGGCACAAGGCATTGGGCGTGGGGGGGCAGGGGGGCAGGTGCTTGCTCTGGGAGGGCCCCAAGGCTCTGGGCAAAATACCCTGCATGGGAGGTTCGGCCCGCGGACGCAGCGGGGAGTCTCCGATTCCCTGCTTACCACAGGAAGGCTTCTGAGAGAAGCTGCTGCCAGATTCTGTTTGAACAGCTGTGAGCCCTTATGCCCTGCTTCCGCCCCCAGCACAGTCCCCTTGCCTAGTGCCCGGCTCTGAGCCCCCAGACCCACCAATGATTTCCCTCTCTGTCTTCCACCCAGCGCATTCTCCGCCTCACCGGCTTCTCGTCCAATAAGAACTCCCTGCAGCCCTTTCTTTTCCGCACGGCTTTCTCGTCCACCCCGCACCCCGGGATGCCAGATGACGTGGAGGACAGCAATGGCAACAAGGATGATGATGATTCCGATGACCTGGACTCTCTCTATTGAGCTGTACCCTGTTCTCCAGCACAGGGGGAGTGGCCTAGGGGCTAGGCTATTTTCCTGGGGAGCACAGGGTGGTGGGCTTGAGTCCTGTCCCCCAGCCAGCCAGCCCAGGATAAGGGTCCCTTGGGAGGTGAGGTGAGCTCTGGAGTGGCCATGGGATAGGACATCAGTGTTTGCAGCACAGGGTAGTGGTCTAGAGTCCCCGGCCCCCACCCAGGCAGCAGCTGGACAGCTAACACAGGCTGCCCCAGGGATCAAGCTGCCTCCCATATCTGGATGGCAAGATAAGGGATGGGGTGGGTTTTTGAGTGGACTAGGGGGGTAGGACGTTTGCCTGGGAAGCACTGGGTGGCGAGCTTAAGCCCAACTCACTCTGGGAGTATGTGGTTAGCCAGCACAGGCTGCTCTGAACGCAGGGACGTGATTCCAACTGTGCTGCCGTCTGTGTTGATAGACTAGGCAGCACCAAGCCCAGACTCTACTTCCCCTCTCGCCCACCCAGGGTTTTCTTTCTGGTGTCTCCCCTCGCTTGCCCCAGTCCCACTGATTGGCATTGCTAATAAAGACGCAAGTTACATAATGTTGTGAGAGCCGCCTCCGGGCCCAGCCCTGCTTCCCTGGACGTCAGAGACCCAGCTCGCAGGGGAGCAGGAACCGGCCGGTGTGCGTACTCGGGCCAGACGTTAGCCCCTGCTCACTGGAGATGAAGGCCAGGAGGTCCCGTTAAGAAATGCGCGTCTGGCCTCCTCCAGCCACCGGGCAGAGAATCTCAGCCGTGGACTCAGCATTGCGGTGAGGACGTCTGGCTGAGCTAGAGCAGATCTTTTAGAAACTCACCGAGTTTGAGTTGAAGCCTGCCTGGATGTCCCTGGTAAGTGATTCCAGTGGCTAACTGCCTTCACCGTGACGTGTTTGCACCTTGTCACCGGACTCAATTCGTCCAGCTTCAAAGTCCTGGCCTGGGCTCCTGTCCTGCTTTGGCTAGATGGAGGAGGCTTTTCCCAGCAGAAACCATCTTCCGTAGGGAGCTATAGGGCCATAACCAAGTCACCCCTTTATCCCCTCTTGGAATACAAAGCAGACTGAGCATCAGAGGCTAAGATCGTGCTCACAACTACTGACTCGACTGAGTCCTTGCTGAGCCCTTCCCTGTTTTCCCACCTCCTTTTGGGTGTGGACACAGAGTTGACCAAGGTCTCTGGCCTTGGACTCTCCAACACTGATGCAACGGTCACGTCAGCGCCCCGCTCCGGGAAGCCAGCCAGCCACAGTTCTGACCTCCCCAGCCCACGACTTCGCCAACACGTAGCTAGCCCAGTTGAGTCTCCACATGCAGAAGTGCCCTGTGTCCTCTGCTGGTCTCGCTGAGCGCACCCCTCTGGAGCCAGGCCACTGTCTGTCTCACTGCGGGTGGCATCAGTTGTATCTTCCGTGCTTGGACCATTCCCTGTGCTCACCCAGCCAGTCCACTTGACCCAGCCCCTGCGGTTCGTCCCTTTGGGCAGCACTGAGCGGCGGCGCAGTGAGCAGCCGGCCTGGTGACGCGAAGGCGGGGTTATGGGGACAGTAGGAACGAGATTTGTAAAGCAACCATCTGGGCCCATGGCGCTTCCCATCCCCAGGGGAGCTGAGGCAGGCCCAGTGGGTGCCTGTGTCAGCCTGGGTCTTCTCAAGCATCACCCTGGGGCCCCTGCTCTGAAATGAGTCCCCTTTGAATCCGACAGCAGGTGCCAAGGCTGTTTCCCACTCTCGCAGTTTGAGTGCAGAAAGTGGGGGCCTACACACGGCTTCACAAATACCTCGCCCCTAAGGGCTTGTGTTAAACCTCCACGAAGTCCCAGATTCCCTGGCTGTGGGTAGGTATTGCTGCCCCCACCGGCATGCAAAACCCCCTTTGAGAACCCAGAGACGCCTTCCCAGGGGGCACCCTCAGCACTTGGAGAGAGCTTGAAAACTAATTTCTCTTAGTAAATTGGCTTTTCAGCCTGAGGCACATGCACCCGGAACCTCCTGCCTTCTAGGACACAGGAGTTAGAGCATGGCCTTAAAAGGCTGATTTTTATTAACAAAAGAAACGAAAACACACCTGGTGCCTAGGCTGCCAGGTGTTACAGAGCAACTGAACACAGAGAATTGCTTTCCAGGGAAAGTGACAGTGTAAGGTGTCCTGCTTGTGTTGCCAAGCAGCCCCTGAGAGCTTGTTTGTCCCAAGACACAGTTTCCCAGCCAGGAAACCCCAGCTCCAGGGGTGTTCCTAACAGCTCCAGCCTGGTCTCTCCACAGGCCAGCACCAGCGCCCCCTCCTGGCCAAGCACAGGGTGGCCTCTCCCAGCACGCAGCCACCAACGCAGGGACTGTGTCTCAGCACCATGGCCCCGGCCCAGGCAGGGACAGGCGGCCTGTGATGGGCACACGTGGGCCAGTCTGGACTGATTGGCTGGAATCCTTCCCCCCAGCTGATTTCATAGTCATCTGCTTCAGAGATAAAATGTGCTATTTATTATGTATTTTGATGTGCTGAATTCTAATATGACAATTAAAACAACTGATTTGCTACTGTTTCCAAGATATTTAGGTTTTTACATTTTACGTCTATGTATATCGTGTAGATAGTAGAGTTTTAATCATAAATTGTAAATCTAGGTCTTTTCAAGTGTTTATGGTTGCTTTACATGATAATATTTCACCTGTCCTGTTTATGTAACACTTTAAAAATCAGCAAAAGGGTTATATAAATAAAATTTATTATGAAACAAAAGGCAAAAAACTATTATGTACATAGTTTAGTCCTATTCAGTGTCTACTCGGCGCTTCTTGGCTTGTCTCTTGTATTCATTAAATGGAGCATCTCTTGTCACTGTCCAGCAATAGTCTGCAAGCATTGATGGGCTCCATTTGCCCTGATAGAGTTTCTCCATTGTTGCAATGTCCTGGTGAAATCGCTCGCCATGCTCGTCGCTCA